TTTATCACAGTAGTAGTGTCCAAGGAAATAGATGCTTGCAAAAACTTTCTTGGGAACCGTGTCACAATGAATCCTTGACCTTGCCATGTTCACTGTCTGTCACACTGGCTTGCTGATTTCATTTTGTCAGCAGCTAGCCTGATACAAACAGCAGCTTTGAAACCCAAGGGAAACAACTGACATTTTACTGTCTTCAGCCTTGCTGCTTAACTTACATTCTTCTTTAGATAGCCAATATGCAGGGCTATAGTGCCAAAATTTGAAGCTGAGACTATGACTCTGGAAACCAAGGTTCAATTTCTGACTTGGCCATGAAACTCATTGGTTGACCTTGGGCAAGTCACATGCTCTTAGCCTCAGGGCAAGGCCATGACAAACTTCCTCTGAACAAATCTTGCCAAGAAAACCCTAAGACAGCCTTAGGGTTGCCATAAGTCAGAAACAACTTGAAGGCACACAACAACAAAACAATAACCCTCTTTATGACAGTAACTATCTAACTATTCCCACAAGGAAAGTCCAACAGTCCAGACAACTGTGTTGATTTGAAACAACACACCAGTTCTAACACTTTCTTCTCCACTAAGGGCAGCGTGCCTGAATTGTCCATTGAAGATCAAGTCATTCCTATTTAGCTAGCATTAGAACAGAGATAGTACATAACAGTATAGTCTTGCTAGGAATTAGTGTGAGCATTAGAGGTTAATGTAGAAGAAACAGGGAAGCCTGAGGGGAGCAGCAGATAATGTCAAGGTTCCTGCTAATTGCAGAGGCCTAGTGTTTTGGGCCTGTGAATCCTGGTTCCACTACCGCATTACCAATGCAACATAGTCAAACTACACCATGATTTTTATACTGTGCAAAGGAGTCCACTGAAAGATGCCACAGCCAATACCATATTTCAGTGGGGGGTGGCATAGAGAGAAGATGCCCCCAGTGAGTGATGTCCCAGGAATTTGGGTTGCTTTTGTTATAGACAAGAATTGGAGTGATAAGGATGATCAAGCCAAGAGCTATCTAACATTTCATAAGGAAGTGCCCCAAACTGCTTATATTATTTAGTGCTGCTTTTAGATACCCACAGCACATTTCTACTAGCTTGATGGATTGCTCATTCCATACTGTCTTGTTTTTTCATAGACTTCTAGCTTTGGCTGTCTGATAAAAAGAAAAAAGGGAGTGCACAGGCTAAGTAAATTTTAAAAAATTGTGGGGTGAAATATTGTACTCAGCAAAGCATTCTTTGGGATAACTGAAATCTGATTCTTTCCTACATCATAACAATTCTGATGTTGCATTTGCTTTTCCCCACATAGCACAGATCAGTTCACTTGCAAGTGTCATCTGAAGCCATTTCTCTCAAGGTATCTCATGCAATGAACTTGATTTTTACTTGTGGGATATTATGGCTAATAGGTGGTCTTGATCAATGGACTAAAAAGCTTGGGCTAAAGGTATTGTAATCTATTCTGACTCTACAATTCCAGGGGCAACCAACTATACAGTAGCCAGAAGACTTCATTGTAAATGTTCCTTTGGACAATTCCATATATCACTATGTTTATCTGGCTATTACAACTTAGCAGAGAACCATAATCCTTCCCCTCAAACCTGAAAATATCCTTTTATAATTACAATAGACCAAGAATGTTTATATCCCCTAGAAACCCTTGTGTGAAGAAGCTGTTGACAAATTTCAACACAAAATGTTTATTTGGTATCAAGCAAAGGTAGTCTGGGAATAGACATGACAGTAAGCTATGAAAGGGATGACCTGTGAGGGAGATACAAACTGTAGCCAAGAATAGCAACAAGAGGCCTGGAAAACATCCAGGATATGAGAAACGCACACATCAGTGGAAATTCATCTTAAAGATCAGCTGAACTGCAACGTTTTTGTAATGAGGAACTGCAATGAGGTATATCAGAAAAAATAAAGGAGGAGAACTATTATTCAAACAGAAGAAAAGAAGGCCTTTGAAATTGATAGATGTTTGTGAATGAAGAAGAAACACAGAGGGGGATCCAGGGCCAAGAATTTACCTTGCTGTGGCTTCTACTATTGTGGAAGCTGTAATTGATTTTGTTCCATAAAATAATTATATGCATTGATTGCCCTTCTGCTAGCACTGGTCTCCATGGAAATGATACAAGCTTATCGATCATTCCTTGATCCCCACCAAAGTTTCCACATGGTCTGCTAAATCATCCTTATGACTTAGAGATGGGCAAGGAAACCTCCACATCACAGGCCCAGAGATGGAAAGCTCCTCCCTAAGCTCCTCTTGCTCCAAGTCCTACCCTTGGATATTAGCACGAAGGTGATACTATGGATTCACTTCCTCACTTTGTTTTTCTTCCCTTGTATGAAGAAAAGGGAAGAAGATTCAGGCAGATAGCTGCCAGCTAAAGTTTGCAGGCACCAAACTCCACAATGCCATCATTTCTTTGTTCTATGTTTCTCTCTTTAGGGAGGTAGAAGACCAGTAAAGTACTGTCAGATGAGCAAACGGCCAGAGAGGAATGCTGGTTTGGATGCCATGAAGTGTTGCTGCTGTTTCTGCTGCTAAATAAAACCTAATCTCCCACCTGATTCCAATTGCTCACCTCTGGGCTGGGGCTGGATCCTTGGCTATTGCATGTGAAGGAATGGACTTCATGAGTCAATGGACCATTATGTGTAAAACACCATGGAGAGAACTGTCATATTATCACACTCTCTCTCAATTGCAGTGGTTTTTAATGACACTTCTTCCCACCTTCATTTGCTGGTTATTGAATGTACAGTGAACAAGTGCAGAGAATTGTAAAAATGCATGTGTTGGCTGAGCTGGGTTGACAAACAAGTGAGTCTATGAAAATTCTTGGACTTGATTTGACACTGGATGATACAAACTTTCTGCTTGTGGTGATTTAGCACCAGTGATTAATTTGTAGACAAAAGTTACCATCTGATGTTACAACTAAAGCAGCTTCATTTATATACTGCTTAATAGCATGCTATGGGATGTCTAAGCAGTTTACAACTGTAAGCTCATTGCTCCCCAACAGCTGGGTACTCATTTTAGCAACCTCGGAAGGATGCAGGCCTGAGTCTAGCCTGAGCCCTGGCTAGTATTGAACTCACAACCTTGTGGTTTATGAGTGAGTGGCTGCAGTACAGGCATTTAACCACTGCGCCACCAGGGCTCCTAATGAGTTCTGAATATGCATAAGTTAAGGAATGCTTATTATTTATCCTTGGCCTAATTGACTAATGTGAACTAAAGCCTCAGCTCTTGAAAAAAATTAGCAGGCTTGATCCTTATCAGCTGAAGTTTATCCAATAAACAAAATTACTTTGTGTTCCAGGAAAATAAACCAGATGGAAGAGATTCTAGCCCCAGAACAAAACTGAACAACTTGCCTGTCATTGTGCATTTTCTTATGCAGTTGAGAGGCTATCTGCAAGACAGGACATCTTCACATTGTAATGAATATATGAGTAATTTGCTATCTGACTCTTCGCAGATACAACAAAATATTAGAACTCAAACAAATAGGTTGACATTTATTGCAGTGACAGAATCCTAGACAGGAACCTGTCAACCAATGAGCTTAAGACATCATTTTAACTCTGGCATCTTTATAAAGTCAATAACAGCCACATCCAAGGGCAATCATGTCCATGGTGGGCGTCTGCCAATTGTGTTTTGGACTGCTGCAATAAACTAGCCAATCTATGGGATTAGTTTGCTAGGTTGCTTTTTTTTTTTTACACCCACATTTCTTCTTAATTGTCTTCATGAAGCTGTGGTAGTCAATGCCAGATCTACAGCGCTTCATAGATGTCAAAATGCCCACACACCTTATGCAATCCTTAGGTTCCCAGCCCTCTTTCACATTCCCCTTAGCTGGTCCATCTAACTATCCATTATCATGCCTGTATATCATACATTATTCATGAACTTCAAGGTGTAAATAGCTCCTGATTGAAAAGACAAGAAGATGTCTAATTACCATTACATCTGTGTCTCCCCTCCCCCTTGCAAACAAATAAATAAAGTACGCCAGCCTTTGGATTGGTGACTGAGAAATAAACAATTACTGTTTCTAATGATGTTTAAATCTTTGAACATTTCCCCTGAGTTCTAGACTAAAATCGCACACACTGGTGGTTTCTAATTGCCTGTTCTTGTTGTGACACACACACACAGAGGGAGAGAAAGAGAAAGAGAAAGAAGCAAACCCCTTGTTTTCTAGAAGTGATGTGGTGAGGAAAAGATCTAAAAAGGCAAGCTGGTGAAAAAAGTTGAGCCTTAACGACCAGGTTACTTAATCATCCCACTTGAATGTCAGGATAAATTGGACACCATAGGATATAGGTTAAGTGCCCAGCTGGAGAAATGATGTCCTTCATGCAGTGCAGAAAGAGAATCAACTTTCCAACTGCTCATGCTTGTAGGAGCGTAAAAGAAAAAGAAGCATGTGTGCCTTTGGAGTGTGCATTAGGACAGAAATGTTTCCAGTCCTGGAGAATTTACATGTGCTATGTATTAAATGGGATGTCAACTCTTCTTTTCATAGCACGTTTCACCCTGTTTGCACTTAGGAGAGCTCTGTGGTCAGATGGTGGTATTTCCCTCCCCCCTCATTCCATTTTATGTGGGCACGATTCAGACAAATGTGAGAACTTTCAAGACACCTCAGATTTCAGTGAAAATGGTTTAAGTATCTGTCTTTCCCCATGGAAATCAGTGAATACAATTGGCTTTTACTTTAGCTGGATCCTGCCTTTTTTTGTTTTGTTTTAAATTCTTTTAAAAAGTGACTGAAACTGGAGGCAGGACATTTCTTCTTGTTGTTTTTGTGTGTCTTCAAGTCATTTCCAACTTATGGTGATCCTAAGGCAAACCTATCATGGGGTTTTCTTGGCAAGATTTGTTCAGAGGAGGTTTGACATTGCCTTCCCCTGAGGCTGAGAGCATGTGACTTGCCCAAGGTCACCCAGTGGGTTTCCATGGCTGAGCTGGGATTTGAACCCTGGTCTCCAGAGTCCTAGTCCAGTACTCAAACCACTATACCATATTGGCTGTCATAGTCAAGACATACATTAAAAAATAAATAAATAGGGTATACATTTTAAAAAAGCTACATGTAGAATAAAAAACACCTCAGAGACTAATGATTCAAGGAGGGATCCCAGAATTAAAGGGGCTGAGGAGGCTCAAGAACCCCCCTCCCCAGGACTAGGATGGCTTAGCCCCATCACAAATGAACTGGCAAAATTGGACCACCATGGATCCTGTGTAGTTGAGCCTCCTCAGGAACTGTCAATCAGAAATGTACTAAATGACCAAGTGCTTAGAAATATTAGCACATCTATTATCCTTGAGCCCTCCCAGGAATAAAAAGTAAAGGTAGTCCCTTAATATGAATGTCTAATAATAACCAACTGTAGGGGGTGGTGCTCATCTCCATTGCTAAGCAAAGAGCCAGCATTGTCTGGCGGTCATATGGCCAGCATGATTGCACCTAATGTTGTTACCTTCTCACCAAAGTGATACCTATCTAATTGCATTTGCATGGTTTTGAACTGCCTGGTTGGCAGAAGCTGGGACTAGTGACAGGAGCTCACCCCATCATCCAGCGCTCAGGCCTTGAATCGGAATTGGCATCTTCACCACTAAGCCACTGTATCCTCTAATCTATCCTATACACACTGACTAGGGAATAAGCTACACTGATCCCATGGAAGGCACTTCTATGCACACTTTGTGCTTTTAAGAGTCTTCATATTTAGGGTTGTTTCAGTAATAATGAAGTAATAATAATGAGAAGTAATTTACCTCCCACCCCACAAGTATCTGCTAGTTGGCAAGGTTAATGAGAATGTGCCTGCCAATGTTGATCCCCTCACCTTAAAAAACAGTTTTGGGTTCCTGGATTCAATCATCCCCTGCCTAGCAATATTCTGAATATTTCATGAGACTGTATTCCTTATGCCAGAGTTTTACAGCAGCTGTGGTTGGTCCAAGATATTTTGTTGCCTGGGGCAAAGAACAAAATAGTATCCTCCTCCATTCCAGCTGACTGGACCGCCAGTTTAATCTTGATTATTAGCATCCTTTACATGTTAGTAAAGGACAAGGCAACAGGGTCTAAATGCATGGTGAAGTGACCATGTGACCAAACAGTTCACCAGAGATCCAGAAGCACACAAGTCATATTAAATCTTCTTGTGTGTCTTCAAGTCAGCTCTGGCTTATGGCAACCCTATCCTAGGACCTTATCACACGCTGGCCACGAAGCGAAAAGAAACCAAAATAAGAATAAATTCAGTTCTATACCGAAATGAACTGAAATGCTTCACAATACGTATTGTGTGATCATATGTATTTCGCCTGCGCGGCCATTGCGCAATAATTCCGAAAGCTCGCTTGTACTTCCCCTATAAACCGAATGTCAAAAGATCTCAATTCGTTACGGATTAGCTCTGGGTTCTGTCGAGTTTCGCTGCAACGTCGTGTGGAAACACGGGGAACTAATACGGATTAGCTCCGGGTTTTGTCGAGTTTCGCTGCAACGTCGTGTGGAAACACGGGGAACTAATACGGATTAGCTATGGATACCCTTTGGATTAGGTCTGCTTTAGACCCCGTGTGATAAGGTCCCTAGGGTTTTCTTGGAAGATTTTCTTGGCAACACTTGAAACCACTTTATCATGCCAGTTTTCCACATTAATTCTACTCACACCCAAAAATGAAGACATGAAGAGGCTCAAAAGCTAATGTGGAGGGGAGGGAGCAGATTTTCTATACTAGGAGGTGACCATCCATTGTGGTGGGGCCAATATGTTCAATATTCCTGATCAGTAATTCAGGGCTAGAGGAGCCAGAGACCAATAATGAATCTACATAATGATATATACTTCCTTAGAAGAAAAGCAGGAAAAACTCCAGAGTAATTGTGAAGTCGAAGGCTTTCATGGCTGGCATCCATAGTTTTTTGTTCTGCCACAGAATACACAGATTAACATGTAAATCACTCCTCCTAACCTAGGGTCACACTATATATATATACCCCACTCACTTCCATGCCACAGAACAATACACAGATCCTCCTCCTAACCTAGGGTCACACAGTGTGTGTGTGTGTGTGTGTGTGTGTGTGTATATATATATATATATATATATATATATATATATATATATATATATATATATATATATATATATATATATATATAAAATCCCACTCACTTCCATGCCAGCATTCTCTGTAGATGCCAGCCACAGATGCTGGAGAAATGTCAGGAATAAACTCTTCTAGAACACAGCCACATAACCCAAAAACCCCACAAAAACTCCAGATTAATTGCTTTGAAAGGGAGATTTAAGGAAAATTCAAGAGACTGACTGCAGGAGGGGACTGGAGGCAGGACAAGATGACAGTCACCACTAGTTCTTCTTGTCAATGCATTCAAGTTACAGTGTCCATTCAGGTAGATCTGATGGAACCTTTCTCTGATGGTTGCAATTTCTCTTTCACTTTTCCATTGGGTGCTTATATAAGGAAACCCCAGAGAATGAGAGAATTGCCTGTTGTGAACTATAACTCCTAGGATCCCCAGCATAGTTTCTGTACTATACTGAAAGCAGTTTATCCAGCTGGTGTGTAAATTATGGACTCTAAGCCCACAAATTTCCAAAGACTGTGCCTGCCTAATTTGTCACAATAGGATATGATCAGAAGGTCACCTTTGATTCTTAGGGGAAAAGAGTAATTTCAGATCCAAATAGGTTGGGGTGGGAAATTAAGACATCATTGTAAAATGTAGAATCAAACTCGCCTGGAGGCTTCTAGAGGCTTCATCTTTGATTCTCAATTCTGGAGACCTTTTTTTTTCTTTTTTTCTTTTTGTGTGTAGTGGACTTGAGATCAAATAGTACTGGGAAACTTTGGAGGTCTTGGTGGGAGAGCATGGAGCTCACAGGATGCACAATTCCCACCTCTGGCTGAAAAGTACATCAAGAAGATGACTAAGACTACTATTGACACAATATTGTTCCACTGAAAGGGGAGCAAAATGTATTTTTAACTTGTGTACCCTTTGTACTAAATGGGTACAACTGGCCACTTTCTGGCTGCTTCTGAAAGCTCAAACGTTGAGCTCTTTACTCAGCCCTATCTTTGGCAAGCTCTCCATTTATTTCAGAGATTTGGCACAGCTCCTTCTACATGTCATGTTGTGCTGCCAAAATTGTCTAAAGAACTTATTTTGGCACTTAACTTTCCTCTTCTTCTTCACAGGAACATTGCTAGGTTGGAGTGGTACCTGCTGCAAAGTTAAGAAATGGGCCTAAGTGTGTTTGTGAATTTTGGAAAGCTTCCCTTATCTGTGTCTAGTCTATGCCTGTGTACATTTACTACATATTCTCATTCTTCTTAAGGAATACACTTCAGAAAGTGAATGTGAGAAACAGGTGCTCTCATCAGAATGGTGGGATTGACCTCCACAACTAGTAGCAGTTCTATGTTTGCTGCTTTGTAATATGTGAAACAGGCTTTATATGTGTCAAATGGTCTCTCATTTAGGCTCAGAAGTACTAACTAGTTTTAGCAGCACAACCACATCATGGGCTTTCTAGCACTCTTGCTACATGTATTTATACACCACTACATGCCAGCTATGCCCTTAATATTGTGGACCATGATCCAGTGTATGTGCTCCCAGGTTTTCCGAGTGACAGTATCCCTGGAGTAAATGGGCTCTGGAATGCAGCCATATGACGTCAATGGGACTACTTCAGAGTAAGTAGCTGAAGGCTTGCAGCATAAGAATAGAAACAAGATGGAAGCAGATGGAAATGTTAACGCTGCCAAGGATGACAGCTCACGAGAATGCATCGCACATTTGTGGAATAAATGAAAATGGGTGGGCAGTTGTTATGCTAACTTCATGCTGCCCATTATTTTATTTTTCTGACTCCAAAATCTGCTAGAGAACAGAGGGGAATCATGCTTGTTGCTTCTCAGAGATATTTTCAGCTAAGTCAGAGCAACTAGGGTAGGTTTCTTGCTTGCTTGTGGGTGGAGGACAGACGGTTGTGTGCGTGTACATGTGTGTGTGCGCACACACACATCATATTTTTCCTCTCTCCTCCTCCCTCCCTCCCTCCCTCCCTCTACTCTCTCACACAAATACATACACTGCAGTGGTCTTGACCATGGTCTAAAGGAATGTGGAAGACTGATCAGGAACAAGTCAAAATTTGGAGTGCTATAGCAGACAAAAGTCAGAAAGACACAAAATTATTTGTAGATCAAACACACAGAACACCCTATTTCAGAGTAGTACTTGTATTCCCTTTCCATCATATGTGGATTGTGAGTGGAGTAGATAGAAATTCCACCCAAAATTTAGGAGTGAGTCCCTACTACATGGGAATCAACTCTTCTATGAAGGCTATCATCACAGTGGGAAACGGGAAATGAGTAACAGGCTAGCCATAGAGTTCATCTTACATTTTGCTCATCACATACATTTTTATCATAGGATCACTTCCAGATGAAGTGGTCACTTGTATATGTGAATAAGAAGTCATAAATATTATTCTAGAATGAGAATACTTGCATCATCATTGGCCAAGATTTAAACAAATTTTGAAATCAGTGCCGTGAACACAAGATAGCATTAATCTTCTTTCCTTTATCAGTGGTGCCTAATCTTCAGACCCAGCTGGTGTTGGATATCAACTACCAGAAACCCTGAGCAGTACAGCCAATGGACATGGGTTCTAGGAATCATAGTCCAATGATGTCTGGGCACCCATGGCTGGGATCCACAATGGTTAAGTATCAGCATATCTCTGTCACATAGCAAATTGCTTTTGATACTGAAAGAAAATTCAAAAGCAGTTTGCCATGCAGAATGGGGCTGAATCATTCTAAACATAGGGAGTGGGGAGTAAAGTTCTACTGGGCTAGTGCAAACCCCTTCCTTGAATCTGAACAGGTCTTTGAATCCAAGTCAATTTTTTTAGTCCATACAATCAGATCCATTTCATTAAAGACTGGATTATACCTTCAT